ATATATATATATATATATAATTTTTATTTTTATTGTTATCAACCCTTGAAGACACCACTGAGCAGGACGAACTGTGGATGGAGTGCATGTGATCTCACGTCTTTTTTGCTCAATGGAGTTGGAGATTGTGATTCATACCTCATTATTTTCTTCTTTCTTGCTGTATATGATCGCTATCACATGCATTTATTTATTTTTAAGTGAGGCTGAATAAAAATATTATAGACTTATATAACCTTAAAAAAAAATTGTATTTCAATTATTTTTAAACTATATAAAATTAATTTAAAAATTATATTAAGTTTAAGGTAATGTTCTTTATATATCTCTTTATATTTAAAATTGTGGTTCCCGATGAGTGGACCAAATCCCATCAGATCGCTTTATTAACACTTTAAAACAGTTATTTAATTATTTTTTTTTAAAGATATATTTCATTTGAATGGCTGATTAAAGTCGCCAACCTAATTAGTTGATGCCATATATATAACGTTTATTAATCAGATAAGATAACATAAGATGGTGGCGATGGGGGCTTACATGAATATTATTACAGGTCTACTTGATCGAATTTGTATTATCAGTGGATACAAATACACACACACACACATAGAGAGAGAGAGAGAGAGAGTCTGTCTAGCATTTCTATATTTTTGTATATATAAAAATATGTCAGCACGAATATTAAAGAAGATAAACGACATAAGAAGTAGATGCGAACAATCAAACGATCAAATATGCCAACAATTCTTTTGGATGAATGTTGGTGACAAAAACGCCTCGTTCGAACTATTGGCAGAAGATGACAGGAGAAGCTCCCACAGATTGGTAGGCAGCGTTTAGGATCGAGCCAATCTATCATTTACTTGAACTTAAACTTGGCTAATCAGTTGAATTTAAAATTTAGCTCAATATTCTACAAGTTTATGTATACACATCCAATCTTATTTGCTGAAGGTGAAAAAAAAAAATTAATTCAAGAAATCATTATAATAAAACAAGAAATGAAGTAGCAATATGAGAAATAATAATAATTCATTTGACAATAAAAAATAAAATTCAATATTAATTTTTTTTATGGAATGATGCTTAACCTCTTGAATTTGAATATTTTTCAAGGACAAATATGTTAATATATTTTTACACGAACAAGCTCATAAGTTAATGAATCAAGTTGAGACCGACGCATGCATCAATTGTTAGCTCATCAAGCTCAACTTATGTTTCTTGTATTGAGAAGCCAACTCATGAGTGCGTTTGGCTTTTTATTACGCCCTCAACTATCACACTTGACTCGTGTGCTTGTTTGGCTCAGCCTAGTCTTGAACTATTACACTATATATTTTCTTTACATAATATTATATTATTAGACAACCTAACTAAATTATTGAATAAATATATATAAATCATTACACAATGAATGTAGCTAAACTATATTATACATTCACAAGCATAAATCATTGCAGAAAAAAGATTTCATGAATGTCTAACAATTTAATCAAATTGTCCCTTAATTATCAAGTTATAATACGTTACATGTAAAATGAAAGATAAGTGAAAAAAAAAAAAAAAACTCTATTTCTATTTTCTAATACAATTTTTTTTCACAAAACACATATAACGAAATATAAACAAGAAATTATATCGAACGTCGGGGTTTAATTAGGGTGGGCAAAAATATTAAATATCTATTTTTTTAATTATTAGAAAAATTGCCTAAACTACAAAGTGCTATTAATAATTTGATTTGGAGCCGAATTGGGTTTGGCCGGTAAGGCTACAAATCAGCCCATGGCTCATTATATTGGATTCCAAGCTGAGCCAACTCGAAATGGATTCAAGCTTGATTCTGCTCGAAATCAACAAGAGCTTGCTCAATTAAGTTGTTTTGATCAGTTTAAGATTAGAATCAGTTTGATTTGGCTCAAAATTTAAACTAACTAGCTCAAATTGAGTCATTATTATATTTAATTTTATTTAACATTATATATATAATTTTTATAAATAAAAAAAAAACTACAAGTCAATCTGGAGTCAGCTTGATTTGGCTCATAGTTCGGCTTGTCTATTTTGATCAGCTCCCTTGATAGAAGCCAAAGTCCGAATCATTTTGATAGATTAATGATATTGGAGCTTAATTCACAGCCCTAATCTAATCCAACCTAAAACACAAAACATTAATTATCAAGCTCCATTCAATTCACATCTTATTACTATATCAAGGTTCACCAAACACCTAAATAGTATCCTTATCAAGAGTGCAGATCCCTCATCTAGAATCACGCAACAATCTTTCCCCACATAAGCAAGCAACAGAGTTCATAAACACAATGCATTTAATTATTTATTTTTAACTTACGGAAGAAGGATAAGAAGCACAGCCCAATAAGCAACAGAACAAACAAATGGCAAAGCCTTTACTTAACAACGACTCAGTTGTGTCATATACGTATGTTTACAAGCAATTTTATTAACAGTTGCGGCAATACGCGACTGACAAAGCACCATAGCCATGGCTCTAAGCATCCATCTCTACATTATGTTGATGTTGATAGAGTATCTACTCTTTTCTCACTAATATTCCTTGTAGGTGGATTCTATTAAATGATATAGCCCAAAATAAAATAAACAGGAGGATTTGAAAGTTAAATAAATGTTAGGTGAACAATTTAAACATTTTTTGGGGAAGAGAAGTGATTGGGGGTGTTTGATGTTAGGTAGAGATAATGATGGTTGATGTCGATCGGGTGGTGATAATGATATATATTTATTCAAATTGTTGATCGGGTGGTGGTAAAATTTTCTATTGATTATGTCGAAAGAATAAGATTGTTGTAAACTATATGACACATAAGTTTATGCATGTCTCTTTGGCATATACCTTGTGAAAGTTCACATCAAACTTCCCTATAATAGGCCTCCCTCCTCCTACAATCTTCATGAATTTTGATTATGCAAGTCAACCAAATAATAACAATAGTAATATATTCCAATGAACATCAAACCTTCCAACTAATATGTTAATCCCCACAAGAAACTCCCACCTTCTCCTTCATTCCCCTCCAAACCCCTATAAAACCCAACCCCCATTCTCCCATTCTCTTCACAATCCCATCTAAACATTCTCTTCATTAACAAGAAAAAGAAGAAGAAGAAAATGAAGCTCTTTTCTCTAATCTTGGTCGCATCATTCCTTGCATCAGTAGCTGCCACAGCCATCGACATAGCTGACAAGGATTTAGAGACGGAAGACAGTCTCTGGAGTCTCTACGAGCGATGGAGAAGCCATCACACTGTCTCGAGAGATCTCGATGAGAAACAAAAGCGTTTTAACGTTTTTAAAGAGAACGCTCGCTACATCCACGACTTCAACAAACGCAAAGACATCCCTTACAAGCTCCGCCTCAACAAGTTTGCCGATTTAACCAATCATGAATTCCGCTCCACCTATGCAGGATCACGCATAAACCACCACCGCTCGCTCCGCGGTTCCAGACGCGGCGGCGCCACAAACTCATTCATGTATCAGAGTCTTGATAGTCGTAGTCTTCCTGCCTCCATAGATTGGCGGCAAAAAGGCGCCGTCACGGCTGTGAAGGACCAAGGCCAATGCGGTAATTATTTTTACTCCATGCTTTTGTTGTTCTGAGTTTTAGCATTGATAGATTACAGAGTTTGTACTTCTTATGATTTTTTTATATATATGCAGGGAGTTGCTGGGCGTTCTCGACGGTGGCTGCGGTGGAGGGAATAAACCAAATCAAGACGAATAAGTTGGTTTCATTGTCGGAGCAAGAACTTATTGACTGCGACACGGACGAGAACAATGGATGCAACGGAGGCCTAATGGATTATGCTTTCGAGTTCATCAAGAAAAATGGAGGAATTTCTTCCGAAGCTGAATATCCTTACGCCGCAGAAGATAGTTACTGTGCCACTGAGGTATTTACATCATGTTTACATGGAACTAAAATAAATGTTGAATCATGATGCGATTAATGTTTTGATTTGGCAGAAGAAATCGCATGTGGTTTCCATTGACGGGCACGAAGATGTCCCTGCAAACGATGAGGACTCTTTGTTGAAAGCTGTGGCGAATCAGCCTGTATCAATCGCCATTGAAGCTAGTGGCTATGATTTTCAGTTCTACTCCGAGGTCTGTAAAAAACTAAACATTTAGAGAATGTTACAGCTGAAACAATGGGAGCTGATTGCTTTATATTGTTTCTTGCAGGGAGTTTTCACAGGCAGGTGTGGCACAGAATTGGATCACGGGGTTGCAATCGTGGGATACGGGAAAACACAGCAAGGAACCAAGTATTGGATCGTGAGGAACTCATGGGGGCCGGAGTGGGGGGAGAAAGGCTACATAAGAATGCTCCGCGGCTCCTCAGATCAAAGCGGCTTGTGCGGCCTTGCAATGGAGGCTTCTTATCCAATCAAAACTTCTCCCAATCCTTCGCACAAGCGCAGGGATGAACTCTGACTACAAATATTGGCTTTATGGATTCAAAATAAGGATATCAGTTGATTAGAAAAATTGTGATTTTTATCTTGTTTGTCTTTGTTTGATGTAATTTATAAATCAAATGTAGTTTTAATTGTTGCATTACTGTTCTGTATTTGAAATGAATTAAATTACTTTTAGTTTCATCCTTGTAAATTTTTTATGTTCTCTTATGTTTTAAGAAAGCAAAAGCCTTTTACTTGCAAGTAACATTTTATGCTTACGTAGAGTTAGAGCCCACTGAGAAAGCGAGGAATTATCTATAAGAATTATAGAACTAGCCGAAAATAATTGCATCAGGTCAACAGGGTATGGAAATTTGCTAAGTATTTAATATAATATAATACTTTGAAATTTTTGCCTCCCTCCTCCCTCTTCTAAACTTAAATAATTAATAAAAGTTTTAACTGTTTATATTTTATTTTAATAAGCATGTGTATAATAATTTTTAAAAATTAAAAGATAATCATTTTAAATTTAAATACTCGTCACCTTTGAATTTTGATTTTGTCACTGTCTTTAAATTTTAGTTTCATCATTAATCCCTTCAATATTTACATTAGTTGTGAGTTTCATACCCTTGAGGAAACCATAACCACATCCGGCATGCTTGATCCCATCGGCTCCACCTCCATATTACTCAATAGAAGAGTAATTATGTAATTTCAAATCTCCAAATGGCAAATATGTCAAAAATCAAAGCTCAGCAACTCATTTTACTTTACACACTACCTTTATGCTTTTAACAAAAGATTGTTGGCTTAGTTCTTTAAGCAAATTAGCCAAAATGTTTATTTGTATTTTATTCGTTAACTTCTTAAGTCAAATTTGAGTTGTTCGCAAGCACAAAGTCTAAGTTGAAAGTCACATATAACTTAATAGTAGCCATGTTAACATAAAGGTATGAGCACATGAGAATGCACACACAAACTCAGTTTAAATGAATATTTAAATAATATTAAGTTTTTATTAACCCTAAAATACAATAAAAAATCATATTATTCATTTTAAAAATAGTGGTTAAAGTTAAACTTTAAGCCATTCTCGAGTCAAATGAAGAAAGAAATATTGCATTCGGAATCTGAACGCAGTTTTACATCCTAACTCCAATAAAAACTTGTCATCTGTAAGGCAAATATTACGTCCAGAGTCCGGGGACAGTTTTGCTTTTGTATTTCAATTAAAACTTGTCATCAGTAAAATGGTGGGCCCCTTTTTTGGATATTAACAAAATGTTAAAAAGACGTATTTTAGCATGACCCCGCCTGAAGCTTCCCAAATACCTCAAAAGAATACACGCACTCTCGATTCATATTTGCAAGGTTTAGGGTTATAATCTGCGATTTAGGGTTTTGGGTTCGCTTGCTTGAGGTGACCCTAAGAGTTTAGGGTTTTCGAAACTGGACTAGTTTTAACGCAACTTTGCTAAGCTTCTTCGCCACCAGACTAGGAAGCGCGTTAGAGGTTTTGACGTCTTTGTCACTCACATTTTGACAGCGGCATTTCGACAACGGGACTCTGGACTCTGCCTAACAAGGTTTACATATGCTTCTAGCTAGTTTTGGTTGTAAAATCTTCTAAACTAATTTGGTTGATCAATATACAATACTTAAGTTTCTACGTTAGCTGTAATGAATACAATGGAGGAAAAAAGCAACAAAGAGAGAGAATAAACCTATGTGGTAAACAAGGAGACTATATTTATTTAGGGTTTAGGGTTTATGGTTTATCTTTTCTTTAACCGAGAAGTTTAATTCTTCATTTGTAGTCGTCTATTAAATGTAAAACTTTGCTTATTGCAATATTATTTTTGAATATCACCAAGAAAACCACAAGATTTTCATCAGCATTCTACAAAAAAAAAAACCACACAAAAAACTTTTTAAAAAACAATAAAAAATCACGAATAAATCACCTGAATACCATTAAAATACCAGAAGAATATCACCAAAACATCACAACAATACCACAAAAATACCACCAGAATAACACCAAACCAAAATACCACTAGAATATTTTTGTTAGTATTCTAATTGTATTTTGGTGGTATTTTTGTAGTATTATTGTGTTATTTGGGAAGTATTTTAGTTGTATTTTGATGGTATTTTCTAGGTTTTTTGGTGGTATTTTAGTGTTTTATTAATGGTATACTTGTGGTTTGTTGGTGGTATTCTTATTTAATTTGGATGGTATTCTGATGATATCTTAGAGCTAATTCTAATGGTATTCTAGTGCCATCATGATTTTTTTTAATTGATATTTTGATCATATTATTTAATTTATTTGACTTAAGAAAAACTTTATTATGTTGATAATATTTGTTCTCTTACTATGTAATACCTTGCAGCACCATGAACACAAGATTATTAACATGTAGCTGCAGACTCTTTGTTGTTAGATCTATTTGTAATGCAGTATTTAGTCAACTTAATGAAGAAACTAAAATTATTCTGAAAGATATACATTTTATTCAATTTTTCCACATGCCTCCTAACTAATAGGAAATTCATTAACCCTTCAAATTTTGAAATATTGGGACACTTATGATAAGGTTTTTAGAATAAGTGACAATACCTTAAGATTTAATTTGGACAAGATGGCACGGTTCATTGCCATGCAAAATTGTGGAGAAACCGTGCATAGGGATAAATTTCCCATATCAAGTGTAAATTCATTTCAAATAAATAATGACTTGTTGGCAATTATTTCGGGACAATGTTCAACACCCACTGTAGAGCTGTATATAAATTTTTTGTTGTCAAACTTATTTTTTTCCTCGAGCAATTACAATGTTTCTAGTGGCTTGTATAGTTTTGCGGACAATGCAAACAATTTCTCTTTCTTCAACTGGCTAGCGGTCATTTTTAGTTTTTTGGTTGAGTAAATTGATGTTATTGTCCGGAAAATAAAGCGGAATCAGACACTTGGATGCATCAATGACTTTGTTTTCGTATTAATGTTTAGTATAACTGATATAATAACAATCTTTTGTACTCTTTTAAGGCAAGTAATCTAATGAATTCTACTTTTTAATAGCTTTGATTTTATGAACATATATTCATCCTTATTCCAATCTCACCTGAAGCAAGGCCTCAAATTCTTAGGTGGTCTAAAAGGTTGTCATGGAGCACAAAGATGGTGAATACTTTTTTCTCTCGACTAACATCAGAACAAGTAACACAAATTTGAATCCCTTTTACAAAAAAAATTTTGGTGATATTATATTTGCATACGTAATATGACAATTTAGCTGTTTTGTTTTTTGTTGGTCTTTGATTCTTTTGTTGATTTAACTAGTGACGAACAATTACTTCTTTCTCCAATAACCCGCAAGTTAGTGAGCCCAATATCTTGCCCTCTGACAATTGATTTTAACTTCTTCACTCAATACACACCCTATGCACTACCTTCTGCAGAGAATGTTGCACCATCTACTCCTCACACTCCATTTCAACCCCCATCTCCAACTTCAACTTCAACTAAAAATCAATCAGGAATAGAAATTTAAGAACTTCTTCGATTACATAGAAAACAGGATAACCCAATAAATGAGTTGCAAAATAAAATTAACCAATTACAGAATAGATTATCAAATATCAAGAGAAAACATAAAGGAAAACCATTATATAAATTTTATCTGAGCAGTAGTGTCCGGCGAGAAAAATCAAGACAAAGACGGAAGAAGAGGAAATTGGAATCCCCTTACACAAAATTTCTAATTATGGATAGAAAAATTGAGGTCACCATAGCCAAGCCAAAAGATGTCGAAATTGAAGAAGAGGATGTTGGGGAAGCATCTAAGATACCAAAATCTACTTCAGTGGAGGAAGAAAAAAAAGAGTAACCAAATGGAATTGACTTTTTGGAGCTAGGGGAGGGAATAATGTTCCTGTTCTTATGGAGGAGGAAAAGGGGAAAACGGTTTACATAATATTTGTCCATAACTGCCCAGATAAGATATATTAATTTTAAAGTTTAGCATTACATTATACTGCATTTTAAAGTACTTTTTGTATTTTGAATATGAAGCATCAGCAAGCAAAGATAGTTATGAACTTCCTGGCTAGGAATGAGATACCCTTGCATATGGCAGAGGTAATTGATGATAAGTATTTATTTCCTTAAGAATTCTAGTTACTTCTAGCTAGGAATATATTTATATATAAATTCTTTTATATGTGTTCCTGCAAGCATGATAGAATTTTTTTTTAAAGAAAATCATTGTGCAATAGTTTGTTCTTCAATCAATGATCTGTTAATAAATAAAGAGTTGGGCAACGAGCATGTTAATGCATTTGCAATTTTATTGGCTGACAGAAGAAATAAAAATCATGATTCATACAAAGCTTACCTATATATATCTCCAATGTATTGGTTTAGCATGAACACAACATTATAGTTTATATTATTCATAAATAATATATACCTTCGCTTATATGTAAATAACATAAACCAACAAAATTTTGCTCCACAAAAAAATTGAGAGCAAGATTTTTATAAGCCAAAAGAAAATGTTGAAAAAATCAGTATTTTATTGATTCTAATAATCCATGGTGAACATTGGACTTTACTAGTTGGGGAGTTGAAATAAAAAATTCATTTCCTATACGACTCACTTCCAAAAAAACTCACAAACAAATATGTTATAATATTGTGAGGAAACACCTTAGCACAAACCCTTTTTCTTTGATTGGCCTCTTCTTCACTAGAACATGATCATGCAACTTCTGCGCATCAAAACTGATGAACTTTCTCCTGTTGAAAATCCCAAATCTAGCGGAATTTTAAGAGTGAGACGCCATTAAAATTGAAATCTAATCACTCCTCTCTCGTTTTCCCCCTAAAATTAACTTTGGAATCCGTTTTTGAGAGTTTTAAAGAGAAGAACCCACTAAAAACTGCCTTTTGAAACGTTTTATGTCATTATTCAAAATGTTCTTCATTTATTTAGTTTTTAAATTTAAACTATTTGACACAATTTACTTTTTTATAACCATAAATCAATGTGTCCCTTAACTCCACATATTCTTCTCACATTAAAGGCCGGCCTACTTAACTGAAAACCATTAGCCACAACTTACGTGTTTAAGTCATTAAATAATGAATTTCGGGGCTTAATCTGAGTTATTACTTAATTAATCATTCATTCCTAAATAGGTTTATTTTTAATATTTAAAATAGCTTGTAGAACGCCAACACGTTTACATATGCTAAGTTTTTTACTTTTGAGACTTTTCATGCTTGAAAAAGTACTTCAATAGAGCTCCACGTGGCTTTTAATTTTATAGGCCACGTGCACACTAAAAGTTACCAACGTTTTTTTGGTTAGTTAAATGAGAGAAATGGATGCAAAACAACGCATTTTCGAGCACATACATTCATTATTTTAAAATCAAATCCGGATCGATCAGTTTGATCGGTTCAATCGTGAATCCATTATTCAACCAGTTCAGTTCAAACTCAAAATCATGATTGAACCGATTAGAAGTGGACTTAAACCAATGAGCATGATTCAGATATTATTCATTTTTAATCTTTAAATAGATTTTGATTGGATGTAGCAATAAAAAATTTAAATTAAAAATAAAAAAAAATTATGATGCTTCAAATTTTTTATACAAAATATTATTCAAAATAATAAAAAATGATATCTTAAATTAAAATAATACTTATTTAATTAATAAAATTGATATTAACATATCATTATTTTTTTATTTAAATTATATTAAAATAATTTAAATATTTATTATATCATCCAATTAAACTTAATGTTCAATCCCGATTGAACCATTAAAATGTTGAACATTTTTTTCTTCCGATTAAATATATGATGCAGTTTGCACAACCTTGCATACATACATTATTAATTTTTAATAATTACCATTAAATTCTTATAATGCTAAAAAATTAAAAATAGATAGGTGATAGAGTAGTTGAAATTTTCATTCCTTATGGGCAGCGCACATTCTAATAGAAAAATATTCTAATTTTATAATAAATTAAACTTCAATGATGTGGGGAACAAATGACTATATAATATTAATATATATGCCAATGTTTATAATACAAATTATGGAACTTCAATGTGGTGGGGAACATATGAGTACTTTGATAAGGAGAATAGCGTGTAATTGGGGCTGATAATTATGTTGAAATTTCAAAATTTATCGAAATTTTAATAAAGCTGATATCACAAACAATCTATTTTTGATTTTTTTTTTTTTTACTTTCTCTAAATTAATTATACTTTGGTCTTCGTTGACCCTTTACATATTAATTGTATTTATTTTAACTTATCTTCAATTCTGCTTCTCGTGCCTGCGCATGGACTCTCGGCCTGAAGAGCACATGGAAACAAATTAATTTATATTCTCTAGTAAAATAAACTAATTATTATAAACATTGAATATACATATGTGTCGAATCACATTAAAGGAAAAAGAGTATAAGATGGGGGAGAGAAAAAAAAGAGAGATTGTGAAGCCCATAATAATGAATAATAATTTAATTTCTAATAAATTAGACTACTTGAAAAAATGATTCATTATTTATAGAAGAAAGAGATACAAATATATGAAGTTATATGTTTATTACAGTTTTAATGAAAGTGTTGTATGATATTTTTTTGTATTTTACTTATATAGACTTTCAGTTTTGCCACCCTATGGCACAGTCTGCCCTGGTTTGGCAAGACATCTTTGTCCAAATATGTTGAGTCAGGGTTGCCATTCAGCCATTGATGGTATTCTGGTTGGCGAGACTTGACTTAATCAGTTGGCTTTTCTAATCGGCTATACTTGTATGATTGCCAACTGTTGATCTCTAGGCAAGGAACTTCAATTGACAGAACAAGGCTAAGTTATCGGGTAGAGGGTAAATCATTATAATTTGACATGTAACTTACTCCTCAACAAGTTGATTCTTCAAGGATTCTCCTTGTGGTTATATGATGGGTAGTTCTCGGTCACTTATAAGGCATCTTAAGGGAATTTCTGAGATAACTGGTGATGCCAAATTTTTCACGTGAATCGGGTTAAGATGAGTGGAAGGTCGATGCCCATGGTAAGTTCGATAGACTTTAGTTCTTTGTTCGAACAACCTTCGCTTGGTCAACCTTCAACCCAGGCATAGAGGGTTGCAACTAGTTAGACAGGTTTTTCAATATTCTACTAGTGAATTCTTAGTCTTTTAATGTTGAACCATTAAACTTTCACCGATGGACCTTTGGTATTTTGCCTGTGTGTCATTGATTTTTTGTACGTGGAGTCTTGGTCTTCCGCTAGTGAGCTCTTTATCTTTCACCTTTGGGCACTTCTTAAGAGTATTCCTTTGTACTTTATTCCTTAGATTTCCTCAAAATATGTATAAAATGAAATTATGAAACTATATCAAAACAGCAAATTATAATATTTCAAAATTTATCCAAACTTTATATGTTTGATGTGAAGAAAATAATGTAATGCAATTAATAAATTTGGGTTACATATTCTCCTCATACCATTTTTTCTGGATTGAGCCACAAATTCATTAGGCAAAGTTGATAGCATAAAGAAAGTTCTAAGCAAACATCCCAATATAAGAAAATCCTCTTCATTTTGAATCTTTTTTTATTACATGCCGTGTAAGAAAAATTATAAATAAAAAAAAAACAACTTTAATAGTATTTCATTCCCATATTTTCCCATGTACACAAATATAAATAAAAAAAACAAAGCATGAAACTCCCTCCTTGCGCTCATTTCCCACCACATCCCTATAAAACCCACCCCCATACCCCCCTTCTCTTCACAATCCCAACCAAACACTCTCTTCACTAGCAAGAAGAAGAAAATGAAGCTCCTTCTCATAATCCCAGCCTTATTACTTCTCGTAGAAGCAACGGCCACCACAATCGACATTGTTGAGAAGGATTTAGAGACAGAGGATAGTCTCTGGAATCTCTACGAGCGATGGAGAAGCCATCATACTGTCTCGAGAGATCTGGATGAAAAGCAAAAGCGTTTTAATGTTTTTAAAGATAACGCTCGTTACATCCACGAATTCAACAAACGCAAAGACGCCCCTTACAAGCTACGCCTCAACAAGTTCGCCGATTTAACAAATCAGGAATTCCGCTTCACTCATGCAGGTTCGCGCATAAATCACCACCGCGCACTACGTGGCCCCAGACGCAGCGCCGCAGACTCGTTCATGTATCAGAGCCTCGATACCCGCAGTCTTCCTATCTCCGTTGATTGGAGGCAGAAGGGCGCCGTCACTGATGTGAAGGATCAAGGCCAATGCGGTAATTAAAAACTCAATCTTTTTTTTTATATTATTTTTGTAAATTCAGATTTTTGAGTCGAAGTTAAGTTGAGATTAATACCTGATTGATGATGTATATGCAGGGAGTTGTTGGGCGTTTTCGGCGGTGGTGGCAGTGGAGGGAATAAACCAAATAAAAACGAAGAAGCTCGTCTCGTTGTCGGAGCAGGAACTTATCGACTGCGACACTAACGAGAACAATGGATGCAATGGAGGTCTGATGGATTACGCTTTTCAGTATATTAAGAAAAATGGAGGAATTACTTCTGAAGCCGCATATCCTTATGCCGCTCAAGACGGCCGTTGCTTCGCCGATGTATAGATATACAACTTCTAAATCCTTGTACATTCTGATACACAGATTAATAACCTGGTTATGATATATTTACTGTGTTGGTTTGGCAGAGGAATGTACCTGTGGTTACCATTGACGGATACGAAGATGTTCCTACTAACGATGAGGATTCTCTGCTGAAAGCGGTGGCGAATCAGCCTGTGTCAATCGCCATTGAAGCAAGCGGCCATGATTTCCAGTTCTACTCTGAGGTAATTAAAAAATCCAACTTTTTGAGAACATTACAGCACAAACAATGGGAGTTGTTGATTTCTTACATTGGATTATGCAGGGAGTTTTCACGGGCAGGTGCGGCAAAGATTTGGATCATGGCGTAGCGATTGTGGGATACGGACAAACACAACAGGGGACGAAGTATTGGATTGTTAGGAACTCATGGGGGGCGGAGTGGGGGGAGAAAGGCTACATAAGAATGCTTCGTGGCTCCTCCGATCGAAGCGGGCTGTGCGGCCTTGCAATGGAGGCTTCTTATCCCATCAAAACTTCTCCCAATCCCAACGACATGCTCAAGGATGAACTCTAAGGTCTGGTTTCAGTGGAAGAAGGAAATAAAGCTATACTGCTATAGCATGCTTATGAAAAATGTGATTTTTAGCTTGTTTGTGTTTGTTTGATGTAGTTTATATATCATAAATGTTGTGCTTGATGTATAATGGGGTTTAATCGACTCCACAAAAGGCTCCATTGAATAGGGCTTTCATAAATAAGGTGGCCAACTTTGTTCTATGATTCAATATGAATATCATCATCATAGAGGATCCATAGCTTCAAATAACAATAAATTATTTTTGCACGACTCATCGATAGAAAACCAACCAAAATACCTTTAATAAACATATCAAGTTATAGTAAAATTAAAATTTGATAGCAAGAAAGAAAATTAATAATTGAATGACACATTGATTCCACTTTGTATTTAAAAAAAAATAAAAATTACGGCTAACAATTGTGAAGCTATAATTAAGTTATATAACTAAATTTTGAATACAATACTTGACACAAAGAATGCAACGTCATAAATACTTTTATATTATTCATTAAGATATTAAATGTATATATTACATGATACAATAATTTCAATCGACGGTGAATTTCTGACCAAGTCTCATTTTTTACTTTTATATATATATATAATATCTTATATATATATTTGTAAATAAGTAACCGATAATTAAACCAGAAGAAAATATTGACTCGATACAGTCAATCTTGTTATAGGTATATCACCTCCATTGTCCAAACTCATGATACCTTTTCCTCTTATGGACCTAAAGATGAACGAAAACCTTTATACTCCCAATGTGGGACTAAAGTCGGGCATGGGCCAAAAAAAATAGGTTTTCTTGTCATGCATGACTTTTTTAGGCATTTACATACGAAGGAGCAGCAGCGAAGGAGCACTGAAGTTTGGCCCACCCAATAAATGAGGCTTAATATAATTAAACCACTCATTTCAGTCCGCATGGGTAGTCTATTTTTAATGCTTTACAAGTGAAATTCTGCTTGTCCTTTTAAACAACAGTAATTTAAAAATATATTTCAGAGGTCAGCTCAACCCAATGCTAACCTTTCTCTTTTTGTCGTTTTTTTATTTATTTCTTTGCAGGCATTTACATACATACCACCCAATCTAAATATATTTACACATATAACACCTACACTTTGCTTTTCTAACCTTCATACCATCTCAAATTTTTCATATATCATAAAACCTATACAAAATAAATTGTGAAGGTAATAATTTATTTTTTTAGGGTTTCAACTATGAATGTCATTAATTTTAAATATTTTAGTTGAAACTATTTAGTTTGAGTGGAAAATTCCATCCTTAATGTGTCATGAATTTTGAATTTAAATTCAAAAAAACACATAAAGTAACAATTTTTAATTTGAGCAGACCTATCGAGCAAAAAACAAGAACAAAAGCCATCAAAAGATAACAAAAGAGTACAAACCCCAGACCTACAGAGACTCGTCAGTCAAAAATATCATCTGAATATCGTTATTGGTTTAGTTGAGGTTCATCATTTGCTTTCATGTTCATCTAATCTTGGATAGTTTCAATGTCAATAGTTGACCAACTATGACAAACACTCCAACTATTAGAAAAAAGACTCCACAAGAAAAGAAACATACGCTTACTAAGACAACATAAGCTTACTTACTACAACAGCTCCGCAAAACAAAATCAGCACATCCTAAGCTTAATATATCAGCCTAACATAACAAGCAAAGAAAATGATTTACACAATGAAACGATCATTTACGCATCCTCAGACTTGTCTAACAAGCAAACAATACAAATCACAACATAAAAGCGCAAAAAAATATATTGGCCTTATCACGTCTTAATCCTAAAACTAAGGTAAGTGTCTTATGACGTCTAAAGGTAGTACGTGTAAATTGTGGGGAAATGATTACCCAATCAAGACTCATGGTTTCGTCATCTCGGGTCATCGTGATTCATATTCTACTTAGTAAGAGGAGTTGGTTGACCTAATCTGACTGAAAGACTCTTGTCAGCAGCCATGAGCTACATCTTTCAAGGGATTTTTTATAAATCTATGATGACTGATTGTTCAATTAACCATTAGAAAAGGTTCATTTCAGAGTTTAATGCTTTTTGAATTTTTATCTGAATTTTATTTCATCGTCTGGGTTAAATACCTTATACAAGCTTATGAGACATATATAAGTATTTAACTCTTGTTAGTGTTTATAAGATATTATGAACCACCAGGGAAAGTGATTATAGATCTTATAAAGCCAAATATACAAATTTTTTGGAAATTTTGAATATTTGATGAATTATTATAATTTAAATTAGAATTATATTTATTATTTGTTGGGTTTTGTACCTTTTGAGTAAAATGTGTTGAAATTATTCTTGGAGGTTATTATTGAGTTCAAAATAATTCTCTTAAAATTTCATGAATTTTTAAATTTTTATTGATTTATTTGAATTATTTGAATTTTTAGGATATTTTTTTTATTAAAAATTCATAATAAATTCAGATAAACTCTAAAATCTTTGAAATTTTCCACAGATGCTTGTAATGAAATTCTAAACAACCTCTAAAATTTTGACGTCATTAAAATTATTTTAAAATTTCTATGAATTATTGTATTGATTTATGAGTTTATTATTTAAAAATTATTAAATATTATTTAATGGAAAATATTTTTGAATATCTTGCTTTTTCTCTATTCACTTAATTTATTGGTGAAATTTTCATTCAATTTGGGATTTTCTATTGAATTTATGAAGATTTTAAGTTGTGATGGTATATCTACAAAATTTGTATTTTATTTTAAACACTTTGTTTTCAAAGTAAAAAATTCTTTATTAAGTTTTTTTATCCTTTGTTAATAAGTAGGGGTGTAAACGAGTCGAACACGAGCTGAGCATCGCTCGCTCGTAGAGTGTTCAGCTCGTTTATATTTCGAGCTAAAAAATTGTGTTCGTGTTCGGCTCCTTTGCTTAAAAAGCCGAACACGAGCTGTTCACGAACAAAGAGTCCTTTTAACAACTCTAGTCATGTAGTCATAAGACATAAGACAATAAGGGTTTGAGCAAGATTTAAAAATTATTATTTATATTAAAACATCATTTGAATCTAATTTAATAATTTTTATTCTATTTTCTTAATCAATATTTTAATTGATTATAAATCTTTGTAGTCTTGCAGTCAATTAGATTTTTTTAAAATACTACTTTCTATATATATATATATATATATATATATATATACTTGATGAGTAGTATTTCGAGCCAAAACGAGCCGAACACGAACGAACACATCTTAGTTCGTGTTCGGTTCGTTCGTGTTCGGCTCATTAACTTATCGAACAAAATTAACGAGCCGAACACAAACTTCTTAACGAGCCGAACAAGAGTTGTTCGCGAACAACGAGCCATTTTGACAGCCTTATTAATAAGTGATTCAAATCAGGTTTTAAGCATTTTAAGCTTGAGAAATTTATTTTGGCGCTTAAAAAATAGCAGGGTTATATTTATAAATTTAGTAATTAATCAATAATTCCAAATTAAGTTTCAATCATCTTTGAGATTGGAAAGGCCATTTTGGTGATTTGAAAGTAAGAAATGTACTATTGTAATTAATAGAGAATTACAAATATAGCTCTAATCACCTTCAAAAAACCAAAACTTATTTAAATTTTTATGTTAAAGTGATTATTAACTATTTCAAATTAAATTTCAGAAGTTTTAATTTCTAAATTTTCAATTTAAAGGTTAAGAATTAGGAGAGGGTATAATTGTAATTTTAGAAAATTACAAATGTGCCTTCTTTTGCTTTTCCATTAATGGATTATTATTATTATTATTATTATTATTAAAATTTGTTGTCTACAATTTCCTTAATGTTTTTTAATCCGATTTTAAAAGCTTTCAAAATGTTCAAAGTAACCTTAAGAATATATTTACAATTTCTGCAATTTCATTAAACATTAATTAAATCTTTGTTAATTTGGCATGCTTATTTTACCAAATTATTCTAAAATGTTTTAAACATTGGATTAATTGTTGCATCAAAATTGCAATTTTTCAACATTCTAAGTAATTACAAAATCACCCTTACATGCATTTAAATCATTCAATTCAAGATTCAACTTATCCAGATTATTTCATATATTCAACAGTTTACATCATAAAAATTTGTATGTTTAATTTTATCTTTTTAATAGGGCTTGGAAACAGAATGGCTAAAACGCAGAATAATAATTTATAAAACTAATTTGGAAATAATTGTTTTGACTTTGTTTAGGGTTTGACCAATTGGGTGGTCTGGTTTGGGTGGTGGCGAGACGAGATGGTTCATTGATTGGGTTTGATTGGGTAAATGATTGAAATGGGTTTTAATTTTGGTTTGAAGTGAGTGTGGATGGGTTTAGTTGGGTGGATCTGGAATTCGTGGAGTTGGGTGTGAAGTGGAAATTTGTCAGGTACTCATTTTATTATTTTCATTTTGGGGTTTTTATATATATATAAGTCCTCAAACTTTATAATTTATAGGTTATAATCTTGAAATATTTAACTTAAGTCTGAAAGTCTCCCTCATAACTCTCTCATTTCAAGGGGAAAGGGAGGTTTGCATTCGTATAACTATTATAATGAGCCGACAAACTCGCTTATTTTTTTTATCAAGCCAAGGAGTGATAGAGAAAGATGGTTGTTGAGCAATTATCTATTTCTGGCTAGTTAATAAGGATTTAATGTTTATGATTATTTTAATAAATTTGTATTAGGTTGGGCCAGCCTTTTCCCGAGTTTTCAAACTTTGGGCCTTTGTGTTCATAAAGAAGGCCTTGTTACGCCGAAAAATAAATATTAATGAAACCCATATTTACCCAAAAGGATATAATCCGCTCTTAAAAAGACTTAGTATGGGTTCAATGTAGAAAGAAGGATATCATGGAACTGATGTACGGTGCAAGGCATATTAGCGGCAAAAGGTTTTGCACAATGAGAAAAGATTGATTATGACGAAATATTCTCCTAAG